GGGCCAATCTGGGACACTGAAGTAGAAATAGTAATGACATGTGTAAAACATTTTGTAAAATGTTCTAGGGAGGAAAAGAAATAGTCTGTTAAGGGAAAACACCTCAGAAATATTTTAGCTCCAAGTACCACTGCCTTTCAAAATTCAAGAAATGCAGAGTGCCAGAAGGAGCCTTTGTTAATATTTCTCCCCTAACACCCACTGAAAAGAAATCTCTTGAAAGACCAAAGAAGAGGTTAATTTGTCAAGCCTGTTTTGTTCCTCTAACACCAAAGAATTATTACAACATGCTGATATTTCCTTCAATATCAGACCTGTTGGGTTTTAATAAAAATATGGTGGTTGACAGATTGAGAGGCAAATTGATGGCAGATAAGATGATTGCTGCCAGAGCTAGTGGTTGTTATAGCCTCTGCGTAAATGTGTATATGTACCATGTCAACATTATAAAACATGTGTATGTTTTGTCATAGCATGTCACAGATGGAAGGGAATTTATGAGGTCATATGTCATAGGATGATAGGTATCTAAGAGCTGGAAGGGATCTTTGAGGTTTAGTTCTACCTTTTCATTTTATAGATGGGTCCAGAGAAGTAAGTTGATTTGCCCAAGGTCACACTGCTAGTTAGTAGCAGGATCTCAACTAAGAACCAAAGTCTCCTGACTTGTAGTCCAGTGTTCCTTTTACTACCCCATTGTTGCCAATCTCTTTACATATAATTATATTTCATGGAGATGAGTATTTTTCTTCATATTTGATTTTAAAAATTCAGTACATTAGCATTTAGGTTTTTTTAAGTTTTATTGTTGCTTTTTGTATTTTCAACCAATTCCCCTTTAAACCTATCCCATCATTAAACCTGTCATAGTAACAAAGAAAAACATTTAAGCAAAGCCAAGTTACACAGTGACCAAGTTTGATGGTGCACAGGGTAATTCCCATCCATAGACTCCACTCAGATCTTGAAAGTAGGAAAGTATCTTTATCAGTTCTCCAGGAGCCAGATTATGCATCACAATTAATCAGAATTTGGATCATTTGCCTAATTATAATTTGTGTGTGTGTGTGTGTATATGTGTGTATATATGTCTTGTTCCCTTGATTCTGGTTTACTCAGTGAGTGTTATGTAGCTAAAGTTGCCATCTAAAAGCTACCGCATCCTCATACTAGAAGTATCCTATCTCAGCACTAGAGCCAAAACAATGCTAAAAAAGGGACAGGAGCACATGGTAACAAATCCTCAGGAGCTTTGGTGTGGGGTTGTAATTAGCATCTGGAGCTAAAGAGGTATCATTGACTGTGAACTCTTCCCCTCGAGCCTCATTAATGAGGCCAACTGCACTTTAATGGAGGAAAACAGCATCTGATACCTTGGGGAGCAAATGATCTTCCAGCATGAGCTCAGAATCTTCTTTAGGATAGAATGGAAGTAAAATTTCCTGATGTTGTAGAACCCCTTAGGGGAGCTGCCGTAGCTTCCGGTAAACTCGTGTCTGGGAAGTTTGAATGGACTGGAAAATAGGCCCTGGGAGGAAAGTCAAATGGAGTAAACACTACCCAAATAACTATTACATCAGATGAAAAACCTATAGAAGTAGGGGTGGGGTGGGGTGGGGTGGGGAAGGAGTGTGCTTTTCACTGAGGATATGATTATTTTGCAATTAATAAAAGGTATCCGTTTAAAAAAAATGTCTGAAAGCACTGCTTAGAGTTTGGGCAGCTGTGTCGTGGTTCTGACTTGGCTCTTATCTCGTTGTATGACCCCGGGGTAAATTAATTTAAGCCTAGTTTGAGAGGTGAAGATGTGTAAAATGAGAGACTTGGGCTCGATGACCTCTGACGAGAAAAGAAAAGATAATGTTTCCAGTATAGTGCTCTTCTCCTTTTTCCAGTCAATCTCCTAACAAAAAGTTGTTCACCTTAATTGCCTCCATTTTCTCTTCTCTCATTTATTTCTCAACCTTTCAAAATTTGGTTTCCAACATCATAACTCAACTAAAACTGCACTTCCCAAAGGTACCAAAGATCTCTTAAACACCAAACGTGATAGCCTTTTTGCTAATCTTCATATTTCTTCACCTTGCTACAACATTTGACACTATTGATGACCTTCTCCTCCCGGTTACTCTCCCCTGACTTTTTATGACATTGCTCTAGATGCCTGCCAGCTCCTTCTCAGTCTTCTTTGCTGGGTTATCCTTTCTATTTGGCCAGTCCGCTGACTGTGCATGTGCCCCAAGTCTCTGCTTCCTTTCTCTCTTCTCTCTATATGCTCTGTCTTGGTGACTGGGGATATATAGGTAGGTAGGACACAGAAATAAGCACAAGGAGTCTACAGTCAAATAAATCAAATTTTTATTTAATTGAAAGGAAATAGCATCTGACTAAAACTGAGGGTTTGTGTCCTTTCAGGAGTTTGTAGAATTTGCAGCTGCTTGAAGCTTGTTGGGGAAGAAGTTGCTTTTTCTGATGCTGATGCTAACTGGGCATAAAACCAGAATGGTGGCAACATGGAAGGCAGGGTTCCAAATCCCTGCAGGGGGCAATATTGGCCTGGTCTGATGTCAGTTATAATCTCCTGGCTTGTTTCTAAATTATAATCCCTAAATCTATTTTTCTGAGGAATTAGGGGTTATCATATTAGACAAGGATTTCATGCATACTTGACAACAGTGGCCAGGTTCTAGGTAGTTACTCACCTTCTTAACAGTGTCACAACTGGTCACTATAGCCCTACCTGCTTTCGTGACAATATCTGAACCTTATCAGTTCACATAGGCTTAATCATCATCTTTATGTTAGTGACTCTCATTTCTATATACTGAGCCTCTGTATCTCTCTTTTGTTCCAGTCAAATATCCTGAATGACCTAGAGCACATTTTGAACTGGACGTCTTGTAGGCATCTCAAATGCATCTCCAAAATAAAACATCTTCTCTTTCTCTCAAACCAACCCCATCCATTGAACTTCTCTGTTTCTGCTGAAGATACCACTCTCCTTTTCATTCAGGTTTACAAACTCGGTGTCGTCTCCTTCATGTTGCTCACCCCCAGCCCACATAATTCAATCCATCATCAAATTTTGTTCTTTCTATATCCAGAGTATCTCTCACATCCATCCTCTTTTCTCAACTCATGCAGCCACTATCCTATTTCAGACCCTCATCAACTCTCATCTACACTATTCAAATGACCTCATAGTTGGTCTACCTGTGCTCTGCATTTTAGTTCATCCTTCATTCAGTTACCAGAGTGATCTTGTCTGTGCATACCAGTTCCCTACTGAAAAACCTCCAATGTCTCTTTATTATCTCCAGGATCAAATATTCACTCTTCTGTTTGTCATCGAAAGCCATTAACAACCTGTCCTCACTGTAGCTTTCCAGATTTTTTACATATACATCACTCCCCTTCACACAAAGTACAATTCAACCAAATTATTCCTTACATATGGCACTTGATCTCCCATCTCTATTACTTTGCATTGGTTTTCCCTCATGATTAAAATGTGAGCAGCTAGATGGCACAGTGGATAGAGTGCCTGGCCCAGAGTCAGGAAGACTGTGTGACTCTGGGCAAGTCATTTAACCTTGTTTGCCTCAGTTTCCTCATCTTCCAAATGAGTTGGAGAAGGAAATGGCAAACCACTCCAGTATTTTTGCCAAGAAAACCCCAAATGGGGTCACAAAGAGTCAGACACGACTGAATAACAGCATGACTAGAATGCACTCCCTCTTTACCATCATCTGCTAGAATCCATAGTTTCCTTCAAAGCTCAGCTGAAGTACTTCAGCTTTCAGTATTTTTGCTGTTCAAATTATCTTGTGTCTATTTTGTATCTATTTTACATATACCTTCATATTTACATGACGTTTTCTCCCACTAGATGTAAGTTCTAGGAGCATAGTTTCACCTTTGTACCCCCAGTGCCTACTACAGTGCCAGATGAGTAATGACTTAATAAATGTTTTCTGGTAGGTTGCTGTTGTCCCATAGACCTGAAAGGTATACTGCGGAAACATAGTTCTTCTCCTCCTTTTCAGTCTGCTCTCCTATATAACACAGTGGCTTATCCCTCTGCCCACACTCCTGTACAGCTGAGAGGTACAGAGTGGCAAGCCCCACCCTGGACAAAAGTGTGGAACAAGAGAATCAAACACTCATGAGATTTGGAGCTAGAAGGGACCTTAGATATCTAGTTGAACTGATTTCAACACCCTAATTTTATAGATGAAAAAACTGAGGTCTATAGAGGTTATGTGATTTATCCAAGGTCACACATCTGGGAAGTAGCAAGAGGTATGTCTTAAAGCCAGGCTTTCCAGATTTCTGCATAGTTCTTTATCCACTGCCTTGACACTTATATAACATAATTGAATTTGAATAGCAGCTGCCTAGAGAGAATGCTTAACCCATAGTAATGAGTGCATTAGTAGTGAATGTTTTGGGAGATCTGGGGGGTTGGTAGGGATTGTGGCCCTCTCAAATAATAATAATGATAATAATAACTTACATTTATATACTGATTTAAAATTTACCAAGTAAAGTAGTTTTCTCATGACTGTGAAATAGGTAGTGCAAGTATTATTCCCTTTCTATAAAAGAAGAAATGAAAACTCAAGGAGTATAAATGACTTGATCCAGCAGTAAGAGTTGGTCTTCTAATTCCAGGTCCAGATTTCTTCTACTACAATATATTTCCTCTACTACTCAGGCAGCTATCCACTCTTTTTTTGAAATGAATATGGTCCTTAACTCATGTGTACAAAATTGTCTTTTCACAGGTCATGAATGGCTCAGAAACATTTAGGGAAATTTCTCACCTCTGTGCTTTATTGCAAACACCTACACAATCTTGAAACTTCACTCTATAATACAATGCACTGTCGCTAACTCCCCTTATTTATAAGCCCAAAGAAGGAAAAGGTTACTTATAGGTAATGGATATAACTCAAAACAAAGTTCATGGAAAACATCAATACCTGTTAATGAGTGACTGTTTCCCAGGCACCTGTTCAACTTCAATTATTTATAGTCATACACTAGATATGTTTCTCAGCAGGTTTCTCAGCCTCCTCAGTGGCATATGCTACAGATCTTCCAGGTTCCTTCAGGTGGCAGTGTAGTGGATAAAATGCTGGGCTTGGAATCAGGAAGACCTGAATTTAAAGGAAGACTTTACTAGGGCAAGCTCTTTCAGTCTTATTTTCCTTATCCACAAAATGCAGATAATAATTGTACCATCCCCTAGAATTGTTGTGAAGATAATATTTGTAAATCACTTTGCAAACCTTAAAGCACTACAGCTAGTAGTACAGCTAGTAGTAGTAGCTAGTACAGCTACTTGATTAGTACAAATAATGAATCCTTTGAAGTAGTTACATTATTTGATTTTATACTGCATATTTCCATTGGGTCAGAACTAATTACTGTATTTTACTTCATTATAACTTCAAATAGTGCACATTTCAATATGTATAACCACTTCAGGGGATTCATTACTTGCACTAATCAGCACCTTGTCATGTCTAAATACTAGTTGGCATTGTTGTCATTATTGTTGTCATCATTGCCATCATCATCATCATCATCATCATCATCATCATCATCATCATCACTCTTTTTGTAGCTATTGTCAGCTCCCAGCTGGAGGTGTCAATTTTTGCAGTTTTTGTCACTATGCCTGCAATTCTCCATGATTTCCAGCAGGGGCTTCCCTTTTTGAAGATGAAAAGTCTATTGTTGTGGGATCATTTGAGTATGGCCAAAGAGAGTATTCTAGATTTTTTGTTGTGGTAGCATTTCAATTTAACTGATATGCCACCGTAGGGTGCCCCAACTTTAATGCTTCTTTCTGCCATTACAGTTTCTGCCAGTCTCTATCATTTAAGAAGAGTTTGCCCAAGACAACATCTTACATTTCTAATCTCAAAGTGAGTTTCCATAATTGAAATGTAATTGGGACAGGGTAACTTCATAGTCTAATGTCTCTTTTCCCCAGCTCTCAGACAGAATACTTCTTGTCCAGATTAGCACTTTTCACAGATCTACAAGCTTAATAAAACACCCTAATTTCTTGCCAATCATCCTTCAAACCCCATAGATTCTTTGAAGTCAAATAGGAGAGGTTTATTCAAACAACTTGGGGCTCCTTTCCTATCACATCCAGGGTAGGAGAATGAATTAGGGAAGTTAAATACTCCCTCTATTATTACCATGAGCTATGGGGAAAAATCCCCCATAATACTTTTTAATTGCATTTGTACATTCTGCATTCAGTTAAATTCACTTCCATTCAGTTCAGTTTCATTTAGTTCAATTTAGCATGGCTTCCTAGGTGATATCTAATCTGTTAGAATGGTCTACCCATAACACCCAGGATAGTACCTTTTGCCAAGTAGGCACCCAAATAATTGTTTCCTTAGTGTTGAATTAATATGAGGCTAGACTGTCTGAGGCAAAAGGTGCTTGCCTGGCACAAAATTGTATGACATGTGAGCTCTGATAGAGGTATTTGTATGTATAGTTGATATGCACAGGAGAGACACATACACTCTTTAGAATTACAGACAATTATAGAAAAATCTTATTTAGAATCATTCATTTTTGTCAGTTACTGACAGGCTTAACAAATTTACATTTTTTTAAAAGCCCTGGGTCCCAACAACAAAAGGTGCCAAGAAGGAAGATTGGTTATCTTTTTACAAGTCATTTTTCTATATAATAGAGAGTTCCGATGCTAAGCATATTGGAAAAGAAATATATTCTCTACAAACACTTGTAATTATAAGCATCATTCTAGAATTCTTATAGAGAATATTAAAGTTAACAGAGAAACAATGTCTATTATGTAGTTACATGTGCAACTGGCTAAGTGATTTCTTTTTACTGGGATTCAGTTTCTTTTCTGTAAAATGAAGTGATTGGGTTACATGTGATCTCTCTGGTTCCTTTTACTCCCTACAGCTAAGTCCCCAATAGTGCCAATAATGAATCCTATGAAGAATTGGCATTAGTAGAATTTGTACTGTGTATTACCATTGGGCTGGAACAAATTACCATATTTTACATAATTATAACTTCTAATAGTATGAATTCAAATATATGTGACAACCTCACAGGATTCATTATTCTTACTAGCTGGGATTTACAAGATGGAATAAAGTAGTTTGGATGAATTATATTTAAATTGACTCATAGATACTTGAATATTTCTTCTTTTGTGTTTATTTTAGGTTTGTTCATTCACATGTGTTTGTTTCTTGGCTTTCTAATTTTTAAAAGTGCATATTCACTTCATAAATCCCATCTTTTTGTATTTTGTTAATGTACATTTGTGGAGATATGATTTTCCCCTCTGGAGACTATGTTAGCTGCATCCCAGATATTTTAGTAGGTTGTTTCATCATCATCATTTCATCTCACATAATTGCTAATTGTTTCCATGAGTTGGTCTTTGACCCATTCATTACTCAGGATTTCATTAGGAAGTGTCCATTTGGGTCTGTGCCTTTTGTTTGTGTTCCTTTAACTGATTGCTATTTTTACTGATACATCAATATCAATGTTGTTTGATCATTTCAGTCATGTGTGACTCTTTGTGACCCCATTTGGAGTTTTCTTGGCAAAGATACTGGAATGGTTTTGCCATTTCCTTCTCCAACTCATTTTACAAAAGAGGCAAACACGGTTAAGTGACTTGCCCAGGGTCACATAACTAGTAAGTGTCTGAGGCTGGATTTGAATTCACCAAGATGAATCTTCCTGACTCCAGGCCTGGCACTCTGTCCACTGCACCCCCATGCTGCACTTCAGTATCAATAACCAAAGAACAATGATTAGTGGATCAGTGTCATCTAGGAGGGTGTCACTGTCTATTGGAATAGAGCAAGATTCTGTCCTCTGTCCTGTTATCTTCAATATTTTTATTGGTAATTTAGATGAAGGCATAGCATATGTGCTAATTTTATTTGCAAATAACCTGAAGCTGATAGGGAGAGCAAGAACATTTGGTAGCAGAAATGGAATGAAAGAAGATGGGCCTACACTAACAAGATGAAATATTTTAAATACTCACACCATATAGAGGTGTTCCTAGGTTCTTTGAAGGCTAGGTTAGCAGAACATAAGCTCTGAGAGTTTCAGTTATGCTGTAAAAGATTTGGGTACAATCCCAGAAACAAAATGAGTCTGCTATTGGGTGACTAATACTGCTATGTGTTGAGAGAGCTTGTCACCAGTAGGTTTGGTGCATTCTTTAGCTGTGGCAACCCATTATACAATGAAAAAAAAAGGTAAGATTGAATCAGGATAAATGAATGGGTCTCAACAAATTGGTGGAATAGAACAAAACAAAACAAAACACTATCAATCACATAAGTAAAGAACAGAAGAGACAATACTGCCTAAATAATTCCTATAAATAAGACAGGATTTTTCATGGGTCATGAGTTTAACAGGTAATAACAATTTCTTTTGGTTAGACCCATTCCCTCCAAATGTCCGAAGTATTATACCCTAAATCAAGGAAGGTGATAGCACAGTGCCTGGCACATAGTAGGTGCTTAAAAATGCTTATTTATTGATTGATTGATAGTCTCAATATGTATTGTATTTATTTGACCATTTCAGGACTATTATCATGTTCACTCCTGGTAACCTCATTTTTAACAGTCTGGAACACACCCAGAAAAGAATGGCCAGAATGATGAGGGCTTTTGAAACCATTTTATGTGGGGATTGGTTGAAACTAAGCATGTTTATCCTAGAGAAGAGAAGATTTAAGAGTAGCACATAATATGCTTTTAAGTATTTGAATGAATTTTTGCATTTGAATTCTTGTAAAACATGAATTAAACATATTCTGTGTGACCTTCCAAGGTAGACCTGAGACCGCTGATTGGAAGGAGGTAGATTTCCAAATGAAGAAGAACTTTATAATGAGTAGACCTGACCAGCTATAGGCTTGACTGCTAATAAAAAGAACACAGATTTATAGCTTAAGGGGCCTCAGAGGCCATCTCATCCAGCCACTTCATTTTATATATGAGAAAACTTAGGCCTACAGCTGCTCAGTGACAAATTATAGTGACTGTTTCTGAATTGAGGTCCTCAGTCTGACTGGACCCCTCAGCTACAGTCTTGACTCTGGACTTTCTTTACCATGAAAGTTTACTTTTCATCCTGGAAGTTCACTTTTCTCCTGGAGTTCTCACACTGGAAGTAACCTCAGTCCTTCAGCATCTCTAGCATACCTTCTGAGGGATATGCTCCTCTTTCCTTTTATGTGTTGTGTTTCGTCATTAGCAGGTCAGCTTCTTGAGGACAGAGACTATATGTCTTTCTGCTTGTATTTATATTCCCAACTGAGCAAAAAGCTTGGCATTCAGTAAGCGCTTAATAAATGCTAGTTCACTTGATTTGAGACTGGAGGAATTCTAGTCAAGGCTATTGGGATAGAGGAGGACCTCATGCGTTGGATAGGCAGTTTGTGTTTTCTTTAAATTCCAATTTTTTTTAAATTCTAAGATTCTGTGTTTATATTTAGAATGTGATGATCTATAGCAGTGGACTCCAAACTGTTTTCACTTTGCATCTCATCAGAAAAAAATTAAGTGTATCCAATATGTGTATATTTATTTTTGAATTGTTATACATACTACCATACTCATATATGACATACATTATAAAACAGAAATTGAAAATTTTAAAGGATGAGTTAAAAATTGAAATATTTCAAAATTTTATTTGTCAAGGACACAAAACATTTTGTCCTAATTAAGATATTAATAATATTTTTGTATGAGCAACATGATTGAATATGCTTTATTATTGTATTCTTGGGTGTAGGAAAGACTTGTGAATAATAATTATTAGCAATGAATTATTTATTTTATTTGATCAGTGCTATATAACAGATACATTTCTTTTTTTAGATACATTTTATGGAAAGATATACAATATAATAATTTAGTAATAAGTCATTACGGTCAATGACCATAAAAATTTTTCAGCAGGAGTCACATTTCTCTGTATTTGGATGGATAAAATGTCAAAATAGAACTCAGAAGTCAGGTTTCTTTGATTTCAACTCAATAGAATGGTCTCAGTTTAAATCTATTCATACCCTCTGATTGGTTGTTAACATACCCCTTAGGGTCATGCCATGGATCCCTAGAGGATTGTGGTTTCTAGTCTAGATACCATTGATATAGAGAACACTACTAAGCATTATCTATAAGATTTCTAGTGTCCTGTCCCAGGTGACGACACATGAATTGAAGATTAACTGATAATCAGAGGAAAGAATGTCTGAAAAGTTTAGAGAGAAATCACATGATGCCTTCTCCAACCCATGAACTTGTGCCCTTTGCAGTCAGTGGGAGCTTTTATACATGGGGGGGGAACCTAGAGAAAGGAGAATAGAGTTCACATTGCCTTTCAGGCAATCATCTGAAAGTGCTTTGTTGACAAAAAGTACTATTGAAAAGGAATCATCCTCCCTGTCTTCCCTGGTTAACTGCAGTATCATTTCTCATTATTATCCTTTTCATCTTGCTTGGCTATGAAAATGTAATCTGATAATGCTTTTTATTTAAATAGCTCCTTTAATGATACTATTTTCAAAGTCTTTTTCAGTCATTCATTAATTATGTTAAATCTGCCCTTTTTTTTCCCTAGATTCTAACTCTGAAATAACGAGGTGCTTTGGAAAATATGCTTTTTTCTGCTATTTTCTAGAGCAATAGTCCAAGTGTAGTCTAAGTGTGGTCCAAGGATGCCTAAGGGGCCCTAAGACCCTTTCAGGGAGTCTGCAAAAACTTTCATAATAATACATGCATGTTTTAATTTCTACTATAGTAATTATTAATAGGTATAATCCACATAAACAAGAACTCTTGGCATGGGGTGGTGGCGGTGTGTTAATAGTTTTTAAAAGTATAAAGGGGTCCTGAGATCACAAAGTTTGATGACTGCTGTTCTAGAGGAAGTCTAATGTTTATTTTTAGCACTGTATACAGAAGGCAGCACAGCATAGCTGTGGAGGAGTTGTCTCTGAAGTCAGAAAAACTTGGGTTTGAATCCTGTTACAGGTAGAAGTTTGCTTCTGGGAAAAGCTGAGAGGACAATCTTGGCATCAGCTCAAGGTGAGATCCTCTTGACTCAGTTTCCCCCTTGTGTTCCTTTAAAAAAGGAATGTTTTCCCACCTGGCTATTCCTGATTCTGACTGTGAGGTGGAATTGATAACCATAACTCTTATCTAAATTCAAACAGAGCTAAGGATGTTTTATCCTGTCATATTAGGTATAATAATATTTCTTCTTTTTTCCTTTTATAGCAAATTTCTATAACCAGAGCAAGTGGTCAGTAAAAGATATGAGCACAATGTAAGTATATGTGAGATCTTGCATATATATATATATATATATATATGTATTAATTTATTTTAAATTTTCAAACAATCACTTCCATAAGCTTTTGAGTTTTAAGTTTTTCTGCCTCTCCCTCTCTACCTCTTTCCCCAATATGACATGCAATCTGATATAGGCTCTACATATACATTGATATTAAACATGTTTTCACATTAGTCATGTGGTAAAGAAGAATTAGAACTAATGGGAGGAACCACAAGAAAGAGGAAACAAAACAAAACAGAAGAAAAAAAAGAGAAAATAGTGTGCTTCAATCTGCATTCAAACTCCATAGTTCTTTCTTTGGATGTGGATGGCATTTTCCATCATGAGACTTTCGGAAATATCTCAGATCCTTGCATTGCTGAGAAGAGCTAAGACTATCAAAGTTAGTCATCATACAACATGGCTGCTACTGTGTACAATGTTCTCCTAGTTTTGCTCACTTCACTCAGCATCAGTCCATATAAGTCTTTCCAGGTTTTTCTGAAGTGTGCTTGCTCATCCTTTCTTATAGTGCAATAGTATTCCATTACATTCATATACCGCAACTTGTTCAGCCATTCCCCAATTGATGGGGAAATCCTCAATTTCCAGTTCTTTGCCACCACAGAAAGAGCTGCTATAAATATTTTTGCACATGTGTGTCCTTTTCCTATTTATATGATCTCTTTGGGATACAGCCCTAGAAGTGCTACTGCTGGGTCAAAGGTAGGCACATTTTTATACCCCTTTGGGCATAGTTCCAAATTGTTTTCCAAAATGGTTAGATCATTTCACAACTCCTCCAACAATGCATTAATGTTCCATTTTTCCAACATCTTCTCCAACATTTATCATTTTCCTGTTTTGTCATGTTGGTCAATCTGCTAGGTGCGATGTGGTACCTCAGAGTTGTTTTGATTTGCATTTCTCTAATCAATAGTGATTTAGAGTATTTTTTCATATGACTATAGAGAGCTTTAATTTATTCATCTAAAAACTGCCTGTTCATATCCTTTGACCATTTATCAATTGGGGAATGACTTGTGTTCTTACAAATTTGACTTAGTTTTCTATATATTTTAGAAATGAGATCCTTATCAGAGATATTGGTAGTAAAAATTCTTTCCCAGTTTTCTGCTTCCTTCCTAATATTGGTTGCATTAGCTTTGTTTGTGCACACACTTTTTAACTTAATGTAATCAAAATTATCCATTTTGCATTTCATAATCCTCTCTATCTCTTGTTTGGTCATAAATTCTTCTGTTCTCCATAAATCTGATGGGTAAACTATTCCTTGCTCTCCCAGTTTGCTTATAGTATCAGCCTTTATATCTAAATCATGAACCCATTTTGACTTTGTTTTGGTGTAGGGTATATGATTTTGGTCTATGCCTAGTTTCTGCCATACTCTTTTCCAGTTTTCCCAGCAGTTTTTGTCAAATGATCTTGCTGTTTTCAATCTGAATATGTAGTCATTCTATATCCCAAACACCTGGGTAAATTAGTACTCCTGCATGTCATCTGCCTGCCTGCATAGTCAAGTGAAAGATTAAATCCCTGGAATAGAACATTCTTTTTGAATGATATGGGAATAATTATACAAAGGGATAAGAAGTTTGTGAAACAAATATACAAATACGATGTTGAATCATTATCCCATCCATGGGTAGCGAACCTGCGGCTTCGAAGCCTTCTAGGTCCTTGGGTGCAGTCTTTTGACTGAATCCAAGGTTTACAGAACAAATTCTTTTATTAAGGGGATTTATTCTGTGAAGTTTGGATTTAGTCAAAGGGCTGCACTTGTGGACCTAGAGGGCCACATGTGGCCTCGAGGTTGCAGATTCTCTACCCCTGCCATAGACTAAGGCTGGGATACATCTGAACTATTATAATAAAATGTGTGTTTAAGATCTGAGCAATTCAGCCTAAAATTATATTCCTTTCTATATCTCAAACAACTTAATAAATCAGTATTAGGCCTAGTCATATGCCTATTAATTAATTACTTAAAGTGTCCTCCCAAGTCTTTTATTATGATTGAAGTAAAGTTAACCTCTTATAAGCAATTTTATTTGTATAACTATTGAACTTAGGAGTGGAAAGCTTCTACCTGCAAAAATGTTGTTACTTATATTTCCTCAATAGCATCTAATCCTTGTAAAGGAGTTGGAATCAGAGTGAAAACTTTTGGGAAAGCAACAAAATCAGATAATCCTGTATATCTAAAGTACATAATAACATCATGGGGCTCTTGGTTTCTTTCTCCTTAATTCTGGGGCCCTGCATATTAAACTTGCCTGTCAGATTTGCGTCTTCCAGACCACAGGCCATTCACTTATAGTTGGTAGCAAATAGTGGATACCAGTCCATACCAACCTATCATCCCCTGGATAAGGCCTATGCTCGGTTCTAGGCAACCTTCTCCCCAGAAGCCATGAAAACAGGGACAGCTCTATGCCCTTTTCAGTCTGAAGAAGCTGGAGAAGCCAAAATCTTCATCCCTCTTCCCAAATGAATTTGGGCCCCAGCTCTTTGGGGGGGGGGATGATGGAATCCTAATAAAGCTGCCCGACCCTCAATATTCTAACTTCCTTATTGGCCCCATTGAACAGCAGGCATGTCATGATTTAAACACACAATCTAGCTTTAACCACACTACAGACCCCCAGACTCAATACGCCACTGCCCCTAGCTAGCCATTGCCGCCAGAACCAATTCACATATTTGATGTGTCCTTGCATTCAACCACAATCACATCATCCATGTTAGCCCAAGACAGGACCACAATACCTAACTATACATCTTGACCAGACAGGACAACAATAACTAGCCAATCAGAAGGCAGCATGACCAGGATGTTTGAGCACTGAACCATAGAAGGGACCCCTCCCCTATTACCTAATCTCTTAAAAAACTCCTCATGCCTTTTTAATATCCATAATTTCTGTTGTATAATCAGCTCATTACACTATAAAATTGCTTGTCTTGTCTTATTAAGTTGCTGGTTCCTCTTGGAGCTCAGCCTGCTTCATGAGAGGTGTCAATCTCAATAAATGTCTATATTTGGATTAGAGGTGATCTGACTCTGAATTCTTTGAGATGATCCCACCACAACATACATGAAACCGCAACAATACTATGACCATTGGCAATTCTCTTAAAACTGTATGCATGGTCTCAAGACTATAACTGAAGACACTGTTGATCTAGATTGATGGAGAATTCCTCACTGGGAATTCCTCACACTACTGAAATCACAGGTTGGAACCAAAATGTAGCATGAAGATTGAGTGTTGCACAATGGATCCAAGAAGATCTGGATTTGAATCCCAACCCTGACGTAAGGTATATGACCTTTGTCTGCCTCAGGTAATTTTCCAGGATTTGTGAATAGATTACATTAGAGGCTGAGACAGAATTAGAATTCCTTACCTTTTTACTTTCTTCTTGTTGTTGTTGTTTTGAAATGCATTTCCTGTAAGAGAGAATTGAGGAAGGATTGAGTCTCACCAAAGTTAACTCATTCCCAGCTCAACTTATTCTCCAGACCGTTCCCCTTCCTTACCAGCAATCTGGCTTACCTGGAGATGCCTGTGCTGTCGGAAGCTTGCTCTCCTGATTGGCGAGTCCCTGACCTGGATTACCATGTCATGAGGGGTCCTAGCCATTCTCACTTAACTCTGAACTCAATGCACTCCTTGGATTGCTCCACCTCCTCACCAGCAAACTTTCCCCCCACACAGGTACACACTGCCTTTCCAGCTCCCCTTTCTGTTGGAATATGTTTCTTAAAAGTAAAGACTGTATTTTTTTTACTGTATTTTACTGTATTTGTAGCCCCAAGGCTTAGAAGTGCTCGGCACATGAAAATGCTTTATTTGTCCCTCCTACTTCTCTGCTCCCCACTTCTATTATGCTTCACCTGAGAGTAAACCCCTTACATTCTGACTCCCCAACATCTATCCTATTACCATCCAAACTGTGACAAATAGGTTTCAATTTTCTTCATAACCAGGTGAGACTCTGTCTAAGATAGCTGTGAATCTAAACCTTGCCCACTAAATGAAAAACAACAGGAAAATCTCTGACTGTAAATAAATAGAAAACTTAGAGTTGAACTCTCTCCAGCAGCCTGAACTGGGCCCGGGGCTGTTGATAAACCTGGTGTGTTTTAATTAAGAAATTTTCAGTGACCTGTTAACAGTGAGTAAGGGACTGCACAGTCTTGCTGATGGAACTACATGTGCCTTAGAAAGCCTTCCTGCTGGCAGGCTGTAGTATGGGTTTGACCTTTGCAGCTGTGGAATATGATGAGAGAGAAAGTGTGTTGTCACCATCAGCTGGCACAGCAGTGAAGAAAATGACTTCTTGGGAACTACAGGAAAAGATGCCCTCTTTAGAAAACCTCTCTCTGACACAGGTAGAATGAGACCATCTGAAGTTGACAACCTATAAGTTGCAAAGGTTGATAGTGTCCAAGTCACCCACCCAGGGTGAGATTATTATAGACAGCCACACTTTTTAATTAGCAGGGTTCTGAATTTGAAAGCAATAAGGCCAAGTCTAAAAGAAATGTTAAAAAAAAAGTCTGCCCTGGTTTTTCACAGCAGACTCTATGTTACTTGAATAACAGGGAACAGCAGAGCTGGGGTGGGAGTGGCAGACAGCAGGACATTTGAATTCCTGGGACAAATTTTGATAAAATTCTAGCTTCTTCTGCCCTGCATTGGAAAATTATTTTCTTTGTGTTTTACTGCTCATCAGAGGGTTTAAACCTTTACTGTGATCAGAGAGAATTTCACTCAATGACAAAATAATCATTGATATGCCACAGACAGCAGATTTTTGGCATTAAAATACGTGCATTTATAAAAAGTGGTATTGAAATGTTCTTCATTGTACCCATATGCTATACCCTAGGCACAGCTAGTCACAATAATGAAAATTCATATATAAAATCACATGTAGTAGATATGCATTGATAGGAAAAGCCTATTATTCTCACAGTTGTATAGCCTGTGGTCAAGTGGAAAGAACATTGACTGAGGAACCAGAAAACCATGGTTCAAGTCCTGCTTCTGATATTTGCTACCTATGTGGCCTGAGGCTAGCTATAACCTCCCTGGACCTCAGTGTCCTCATCTGTAACAGGAGAGGGTTGAACAAGAAGACCTCTACAAACCTTTCTAGATTGAAATCTGTTTTTTAAAATTAATTTATTTTTAGTTTTCAACATTCACTTCCGTAAGATTTTGAGTTTTAAATTTTCTCCCTCTCCCTTCCTGTCCCCCACCCCAAGACAGCATGCAATCTGATACAGGCTCTACATATACATTGATATTAAAGATATTTTCACATTAGTCATGTTGTAAAGAAGAATTAGAACCAATAGGAGGAACCACATCAAAGAAGAAACAAAACAAAACAAACAGAAAAAAAGAGAGCAAATAGTATGCTTCAATCTGCATTCTGACTCCATAGTTCTTTCTCTGGATGTGGACAGCGTTTTCAATCATGAGTCTTTTGGAGTTGTCTTAGATCCTCACCTAGCTGAGAAGAGCTAAATCTATCAAAGTTAGTCATTGCATAATGTGGCTATTACTGTGTACCATGTTCTCTTGGTTCTGCTCATTTCACTCAGCATCAGTCCATGCAAGTTTTTCCAGGTTTTTCTGAAGTTCACTTGCTCATCATTTCTTATAGCACAATAGTATTCCATTACATTCATATACCACAACTTATTTGGCCATTCCCCAATTGATGGGCATCCCCTCAATTTCCAGTTCTTTGCCACCACAGAAAGAGATGCTATAAATATTTTTGTGCATGTGGGTCTTTTTTTCCCCATTTTTATGATCTCTTAGAAGTGCTATCACTGGGTCAAGGGGTATGCACATTTTTATGCCCCTTTGGGTGTAATTCCAAATTGCTCTCTACAATGGTTGGATCAGTTCACAACTCCACCAACAATGCATTAATGTTCCAATTTTCCCACATCCTCTCCAACATTTATCATTTTCCTGCTTTGTCATGTTAGCCCATCTGCTAGGTGCGATGTGGTACCTCAGAGTTATTTTGTTTTGCATTTCTCTAATCAATAGTGATTTAGAACATTTTTTCACATGACTATAGAGAGCTTTAATTTCTTCATCTGAAAACTACTTGTTCATATCCTTTGACCATTTATCAATTGGGGAATGACTTGCATTCTTATAAATTTGACTTAGTTCTCTACATATTTTAGAAATGAGGTCTTTTTTAGAGACACTGGCCATAAAAATTGTTTCCCAGCTTTCTGCTTCCCTTCTAATCTTAGTTGCACTGGCTTTGTTTGTGCAAAAACTTTTAAATTTGATATAATCCAAATTATCCATTTTGAATGTCATAATGTTCTTTATCTCTTATTTGGTCATAAATTCTTCCCTTCTCCATAAATCTGACAGGTAAACTATTTCTTGCTCTCCTAGTTTGCTTATAATATCAGCCTTTATATCTAAATCATCTTCTCATTTTGACTTTATCTTGGAATACCCTGTAAGATTTTGGTCTATGTCTAGTTTTCTGCTCATTAGATTTACTTTTGGTTTTGAGTTGTTTGAGATTAGGATTATTACCCCTGTTTTTGGGGGGGGGGAGGGAAGTTTTTTTAATTAATTATTTTGTTTTTAGTTTTCAACATTCAATTCCACAAGATTTTGAGCTCCAAATTTTCTCCCCACCTCACCCCTCTCCCACCCCAAGACAGTGTGCATTCTGGATACCCCTTCCCTTAATTTCCCCTCCCTTCTATCACCCTCCCTTCTCTTATCCCCTTCCCTTTCTATTTTCCTGTAGGGCAGGATAGATTTCTATACCCCATTGCCTATATGTTTTATTTCCCAGTTGCATGGGAAAACAAATTTTAACATTTGTTTTTAAAACTTTGGGTTCCAAATTCTCTCCCTTTCTCCCTCCCCACCCACCCTCATTGAGAAGGCAAGCAACTTGACATAGGTTATATGTCTGTAAACTGAAGCATAATATATTCTACTCCAGCCTTTTACCTTTACTCTTTGTGTATCTCTCTGCTTCAAATGTGTTTCTTATACATAACATACTGTAGCATTATGGTTTTTAATCCACTCTGCTATCCACTTCTGTTTTATGGGAGAGTTCATCCCATTCATATTCCCAGTTATGATTACTATCTATGCCTTCTTCTCCATTGCCTCTTTTTCTCTCTCCTTTTTCCCTTTCCCTCCTCACTAGAGTATTGCTTTTGACCACCACCTCCCTCAATCTGCCCTCCCTTCTATCCACCCTCTCCCTTTTCTTTCCCCTTTCCCCTCCTACTTCCTATAGGGTAAGTTAGATTTCTATACCTAACTGAGTATGTTATTCCCTCTTTGAACCAAATCTGATGACGGTAAGATTCAAACAATGCTCATCTCTCTCCCTTCTTTCCCTCTACTATAATAGGTCTTTGTGCCTCTTCATGTGATGTAATTTACCTTTTCCTGCCTCCTCCTTTCCTCTTCTCCCAGTGAAATTCCTTTTCACCACTTAATTATATTTTTTTTAATCATCACATCAAAGTCAACTTATACCCACACCCTCTGTCTATGTATACCCCTTCTAAATGTCATAATAAGGATACAGTTCTCAAAAGTTACAAGTATCATCTTCCCATGTAGGTATGGAAACAGTTTGCCCTTATTGAATAACATTTTTTTATTTACATTTTTATGCCCTTCTTGAGTCTTGTATTTAAAGATCAAGTTTTCTGTTGAGCTCTGGTTTTCATCAGGAAGGTTTAGAAGTCCTCTATTTCATTGAATATCCATCTACTCCCCTGAAAGATTATGCTCAATTTCACTGGGTAGTTGATCCTTGGTTGTAGTCCAAGCTCCTTTGTCTTACAGAATATCATATTCTAAGCCCTCCAATCTTTTCATGTAGAAGCTTCAAGGTCCTGCGTAATCCTGACTGTGGTTCCACAATATTTAAATTATTTCTTTATGGCTGCTTGAGTATTTTCTCCTTGACCTGATTATTCTGGAATTTGGCGGCAATATTCCTTGGCATTTTCAATTTGGGATCTCTTTCAGGAGGGTGGATTCTCTTGATGACTATTTTACCCTCTGGTTCTAGGACCTCAGGGCAGTTTTCCTTGAAGATTTCTTAAAAGATGCTGTTCAGACTTTTTTGAGTATGACTTTCAGGTAGACCAATAGTTCTTAAATTATCTCTCCTGGATCTATTTTCCAAGTCAGTTGTTTTTCCAATATGGTATTTTGTTTTCTTCTATTTTTTCATTCTTTTGATTTTGTTTGACTGATTCTTGATGTCTCATAGAGTCATTATCTTCCACTTGCCCAATTCTATTTTTTAAAGAATTGTTTTCTGCAGTGTACTCCCCCCTGCCATTTGACCAATTGTATTTTTAAGGGCTTGTTTTCTATAGTACATTTTTGTTCTTTCTTTTCCAAGCTATTGACTCAGTCTCTTTCATACCTCTCATTTCTTTTCCCAATTTTTCTTTTACCTCTCTTATTTGACTTTTAAAATCCTTCTTGAGCTCTTCCAAGACTTTTTGGCCTTGAGACCAGTTCATATTCTCCTTTGAAATTTCAGATGTGAGTATATCGACAATGTTGTCCTCTTCTGAATTTGTGTTTTGATCTTCCCTTATCTACAGAAAAAATCTATGGTCATTGTCTCTTTCTGCTTTTTGCTCATGGTGTTTGCCTATTTCCTGGCTTTTAAAGTTGAGCTCTCCTGCTGGAACATGGGGGGCACTGACCCAAACTTCTTGTGCTGGGAAGCCAGGGACCTGGTCACTGGCTTTGTGTGCTGGGGCCTCAGGTGCTGGCAGCTGGAGGCTATAGCATTCTGGCAGCTTACCTGGTGCTGACCTGGGGTCAGCAACACTGAAGCTTTTGGGGTGGGAGATGGGGGTCTGACCCCTAAGTGATGTCTGCTCACCCAGATTTCTCTGAAGCATGGAGAGATTTGGCTCTTGGAGGATGCCTGCCCATCAGCACACA